ATTTATATTAAAGAAATTTAACATTTGATCAAGAATAATTTTTTCAAAAATCTTACTGAGTGTTGGTAGCACAAAAATAGGTCTAAAATTTGCGGGGTCTAATGTACTACCAGATTTAAATAAAGGTATTACTTTACTATGCTTCATTAAATCAGGAAACACACCAGATTCGATACTAGTATTAAAAATAATAGCTAAATGAGGCGCGATTGTACCTATTATAGACGCAATTACTTTAACGGAAATCCCCCTCAGATCCGTCGTTTTCTTAACATCAATAGTTTCAAAATATTTTACAATATCTTTTGATGACACTTTATGAAATGTAAGATTCTTTCTACAAGCATTTACATTTTGTTTAAGTAATGATTCGGCGACGGCAGGAGAAGAATTCAGTGACTTAGTGGTCAATATCGGAATATCAATGAAATATTTCTCAAAAACCATTACAACGTTCTGATCTGATTCAGTTAATTTGTTGTTAACACTTAACTGGTAGTTTGAATTGCGAGAGTTGATCTTACCAGTTTCGCTATTAATTATACTCCATGTTATTTTAATTTTATTAGGAGCCGTCTTAATTTTGTTGCTCAAATACAGACTTGGCTGTGGAGCACATTCTTTTAAATATTTTTGAATATTTTTTTACATATTCCCTAAATTCGACGCTATGATTATATGACCTTTCATGGTAAAGATCATATAACCTATGTCTGCTCTTATAAACTCCTACCATCGCCCATTCACTGGATGACTTCCGACTTTTCAGGGAGAATATTTATAAGTATTATTAAATTCCATACAACAAATTAGGATCATTTTGGTCTGAAAGTGATGGAAGTTTTATGACTATGTTACTTCTAAATTCCTCCAAGCGACATGCATTTACTGGAACAAACATAACTTTCTCATTTACATGCTTTTTGTGAACATAAAGTGACGATAATACTTGTCTACAGTGATCAGAACTTAAATTTTGAATTATACATTTATGCAACGGCTTCACATTTGTAAAAATTTTGTCTATACATGTTGCACTAGATTGAGTAATACGCGTTGGCTCTAAAAATAAATTAAAAAGACCATATAATTTAAACAATGATCTAAATTTAATATTGACGGAGGAAGCTTCTAGGAGGAAGCTTCTAGGAGATTGATATTAAATTGGTAGAAATAGGCAATAGAATGAATCCCACACAAATGGACTCCTAGGGAGTCTTACCATCTAATACATCTACAACTAGTTTAATTCTACAACAATACGCAATATTTTTTGATAATTAGGTATCGACAGGTCCCATCTGTAGAGATTGTAGTCATTGGCGATTTTAACGCCCACCACGCCGAACGGATCGGTTAGCGTATAATCGATCATGCATCTGTATGTGATTTTGCCTTGGCATATGGTCTGACACAACTGGTTACTACGGATTCAAGCTGTGGAGGATCATGCACCTTCCCTGTTGGACCTTCTGCTGACCTCTCACCGGACTAATATCAGGTCTTCGTCGACGCCCCTCTTGGCTTCTAGGACCATTGTCTAGTCCTGAGTGTGGTGCCATTCACGCTGAAATCGGGCTTGCTTTCTGCAGGCTGCCGCCGTGTTTGGCACTATAGGTCTGCCAATTGGGATGGGATGCGGTCTATCTTTGCATCCTGCCCTTGAAGGCGGGTTTGCTTCTCGCCGAACGATCCCAACGTTGTTGCTTATTCTGTTGCTAATGTGGTATTTCAGGGTATGGAACTTTTTATTCCTTCCTCTGTGTTGTCCATCGGAGGAAGATTCAGCCATGGTTCTGTCGCTCCTGTAAAATAGCATCACGCTACAAACAGGAGTGCTACCGGGCCTGGACTGACGCACAAATGTCCTGAGATGTAAACACCAGCGCACTTAAAAAGAAATATAATTCCGCCTCTAGGTCCTTTAAAAGAGTCATTGCCAAGGCAAAGTCAGAGCACTTGGGCAGAATTCGTGAGAAACTAGTTCGCCTTCCTTCGGAAACCCATGCATTCTGGTCTCTTGCCAAGGCTGTCCAAGGGAACTACTGTCAGCCATCTCTTCTATCTCTGCACAAGGAGGAAGATTCACTGACCCATGCCGCAAAGGAGAAAGCCGATTTGCTAGGCTCTGTCTTTGGGTCCAACTTGACTCTCGATGACGGGGGAACACACCGCCGACCGAAATAATGAATAATTATCTTTCTGATAATCAGCCAATAAATTCACAATAACCTATATTAAAACTGCTATCTCTTTCATTCATCTTTCTCTGTCATTAAATACTTAAGTTCCATTGCTATACTAGAAAATATAGTTTAATTTTTTATTCAAATTTCAGAAAATCATTTGTTACTTTACCACTGGTTCGAAAAATAACCCTTTTTCTTGGGAAGAACTAGCAAGGAACCTAGCGGGACTTTTTTTAAAGTAAATTTTACATTAATGGTTGTACAAACTATTTACAAAATTTATTTTAGAAACTGCTTGGAAGCGACCACCTCATTCCCAGGGGTTACTATTAGCCATGTTTCCATTTAATTTATAAAAAGGGATAATATAATTAAATATTATAATATCCCTTTTTATACAGTTTCAGTTCAACAAAACATTTAAACTTGGTAATAGAGAGAGCCTGTACACTTTCCGGGACCTTGTTGTAATAGCGTATACATTGCCCCCATAATGAATTACTGACTCTGTGGAGTCGACAAACTGGTATCACTAGCTTGTGTTTGTTCCTAGTGTTTACAGAATGTGTATCACTTTTTTTACTGAGCTACCTTTGTTTTTGTGAACATACATTACATTTTCGTTAATATACTGAGAGGCAAAAGTTAATATATTTATTTCTTAAAATAGCTACTGTAAAACAAAACACGATGGACTTTGAATTGATGCAACAATAACATTGCTTAACTTTCCAATAATTTTGAAAAAAAAAATCTTAACGTTTGCATGAATGAAAAATAAAACATATAAGAAACAATACTGTTTATTTCTAAATATTTATCTTGCCGTTACTGTAACAGCCTATTGAAGTCCACTGCTGAACATAGGCCTCGCCCATCGATTTGCTCGTAGGGGGCATATTTGCCATAATTGTCAAATGGGTGGGCAACCGTAGTTTTTTTAGACGCTGCTGCCCATCTCCTGGTTTGTATCCCACTGTCGCCTCTTACGACACCCACGGGATGATATGGGGTAGTGGATATGCGTCACTAAATGCTAATTTTTATCCTAACTACTCAGGTCCTGACATTTTATTGGACCAACTTTGTCAAAAAAGGGAAATATTATTTTTAAGATAAATCTAAAAATAACGTAGATTCATTTTGCCAATTAATTTTACTCTGTTTTATCTTAAAATAAAAATATTGCAACAAATAAAATATTGAATTATTTATGTGAAGGTCAAGGAAACGATGATTGCAAAACGTTTATGACAATTACCTTGTTGTGGCTGTGCGGTGAATATCCATATCATCTCGTGAATGCCGTAAGAGACTTGGGGAAAAGAGTTATTTTTAAATAACCGTGAACATCGTTCCGGTGACGAAAGTCACAGTGAAAAATCATCGTGACTTTGTCACGTTAGATAACAATTTGTAACATTAGAATGACTTGTAATGTTATTTTATATATGCATTTTAGAATTACTTAAAAGTTAAAGTCACAGCAAATTATACTTCCCACTGCTGGGCACAGGTCTCCTCCAATTTCTGAGAGGGTTTTAGGGCAAGGAAATGTCTGCCACCGAGCACGTGGTAAATCAGCACTTAAAATTGCAATTAACAATTTCATTAATGCTGGCGGGGATCGAACCCGGGTTGCTCGCGTACTGAGAAATTTACAGCGAGCTCTAACCATCTGAGCTACCACGGCTCAGAATTAAGTTTTATTTCAATAGTCGATTTTTTATTTCCTTCCTTACTATTTTTGATTTTTGAAATATACGAATTTCATCTAACCTAGCCGATAGTCAGTCGGGGTGGCGGTTTTCCAAAAAAAGATCGATTTTCAAATGCATTTGAATCGAAACCTGATTCTGAAATAAATCGAGATTTAAAAGATCGATTTAAAATGATCTTCTTTGATTTATTTTTCGACAAAAAAACAAACAAAAAAAAACCGTCGTTTCGCGAGTTTTCAAATAGTTACGTGAAAAAATAATTGTTTACCTGTTTGAGTACACTCCGCATCGATTTCAGATCGTCATGCCTAGTTGGTGTACCGTCTAGTATACGGTAAAGGTAACTTGTTACATAGTGGCAACCATGCAAATATACCCCTTATGAAGCAATATATGGGGAAGGCCTATGTTTAACAGTCGACTTAAAATAGGCTGTAACGGTAAGTTTATGTTGTAATAGTAATAAGATAAATGTAATAGTAGGAGAAAAAAGACGGAACATTTTTTTATTTTATTTCGTCCGGACACGGGTGCTCCGTGCGATGTTTAGGGCAACGTTGCTGAGGTGGGCGATACTTGCGTAAATGAATAAAAATTCAGTCATAGGTTATCATTTTGTAGACGCGTAGGATAATGATCATATGCCGTTATAACTAGCAAATAAATTACTGCATACCACTAATAACTATATTAATTAACGCGCAAGTGCAAGTTAGACAAGAGTACAAAATAGCATCGGAAACATTGCTTATATAGGTAAAAATAATTAATAATAATTAAAATCGCAATATGCTGTTTATCTTAAACTACATACTGATTGGTCGTATTCACAGCGAACACAATACATGCGCAAGCGGCCATTGAACTCCGCCCATGCCGCCATCGATGAGAACAATAGGTACACAGGCGGCCATCGAACTCTGCTGGCGCTACGACCAATGGGAACGCATGCGCCCTTATCAGCGGGTGTTGCTTAATGACGACGTAGGATATCGTCCGATGTACTCGTATGACGTAGTGGTGGCGTGATCTTTAGGTCCGTTCTAGCTACTAATTTACTCGCCACACTACTCCCCCGTTGAGACCGTAACTACGGGCGATAGTAATCCGGAAACCTTACTGCGCGTCCGCTTCGGGTCGTTTTGGTGGTAGTTTGACCATAGTCACTTCGGTTTTGTGGAATGGTCTCTGCGGTCTCTCTGGCAACATACGCTGGCTTTAGGCGGTCAATTGAGATCCTTTGAGTCCTGCCCTGGATTTCTACGTCGAATGTTTTGGAGTCACATCTCACGACTTTGAAGGGGCTTGAGTAGGGTGCTTCGAGTGGTCTTCTTGCGGGACCTTGGCGGACGAAGACATGCGTCGAAGTTCTGAGGTCTTTGGGCACATAAAATATTCGACTGGAACTGCCATGCCAAGACGTAGGTTGTGGGGTCAATCTACTGACGTGCGCGCGTAGTCGACCAGCCACGGTGGTCGGGTCCGTCTCCGTATTGGGATTTGGGGAAAAGAACTGTCCAGGCAAACGGAGTGGTTCACCGTAGACTAGCTCTGCTGCCGATGATTGCAAGTCCTCTTTCCAGGCGCTGCGGATACCGAGGAGGACGCATGGTAGAACTTCAACCCAGTTTGAAGACGAGTGGCAAGTGATGGCGGTCTTCAGTTGGCGGTGCAGTCGTTCCACTAGACCATTGGCAGCTGGGTGATAAGATGTGGTAGTGTGGTGTGTTGCACTGACCAGCGCGGCGAGCTCCTTGAAAGTGTGCGATAGAAACTGTCTGCCGCGATCTGTGGTGATGTGTTCTGGACATCCGAAGCGTGAAATCCATCCATTTGTTAGAGCGATGGTGCACGTCTCAGCTGTCATGTCCTGGAGTGGGTACGCCTCAGGCCAACGGGTGAAGCGGTCGACAATCGTGAGGCAGTACCTGTACCCAGAACATAACGGTAAGGGACCGATCAAGTCAAGATGTATATGCTGAAATCGTGCTGAAGGTAGCATGAATGATGCGAGCGGTGCTGAAGTGTGACGAGCTACCTTGGATCGTTGACAGTGCTGGCACTCCTTTGCCCATTGCCTACAATCCCGCTTAATGCCAGGCCAGTGACAGTAGCCTTCGCTCCTGGATGACTCAAGTTATGTAGTGCGTTAAATACCTGTCTGCGGAACGAAGGTGTGATAAATGGCCGCGGATTTGGGGTGGAGACGTCACAGTATATCTGCAGATCCTGTCCCGGTGTCCTAAGCTTCTCCAACTTCAGGGCAGAGCCGTTCTACAGCAGATCATGTAGCTCGCTATCGGTGTCTTGCTAGGCTATCGGCTAGGGACTGGTAGTCTAAGGGCATAGAAATTTCATTAATGCGGGACAGAGTATGAGCGACTATATTATCCTTTCCGGCGATATATCTGATGTCCGTGGTAAACTGGCTGATGAAGTCAAGGTAGCGAAACTGGCGTGGTGAGCAACTCGTTCGGTGCGTTGTAAAAGCAAACGTCAGTGACTTGTGGTCGGTTATAATCGCGAAATTTCGTGCTTCGACCATGAAGCGGAAGTGTTTGATGGCTTCGTAGATGGAAAGAAGTTCGCGATCATAAGGGCTATACTTCCTCTGGCTTGGACTTAGCTTCTTGGAAAAGAATGCTAGTGGTTTCCATTCGTTGTCCTGGTATTGCTACAGAACTGCCCCTATTGCTGAATCTGAAGCATCTGTATGAATCGCCAACTCTGCTTGTGAATCAGGGTGTACCAATAGTATGGCTTCAGAAAGACTATTCTTGCAGTTATTAAATGCTTCCAACAGAGCGGGTGTCATGTTGATAGGTTGCGAACCTTTCGTCTTTGGGCCAGCAAGCATTTGGTTCAGTGGAGCTTGAATGGTAGCTGCATTTGGGATTAAGCGGCGATAAAAGTTTACCATTCCAAGAAAACGTCTGAGTTCCTTGACGGTTTTTGGTGGAGGGAATTCTCGAATAGCCTGCACCTTCGCATCCAGTGGCTGGATTCCCGCTGCTAAAACCTTATATCTTAGGAAGTCGACCTCAGACTGCCCAAAAACGCACTTGTTGGTGTTTATTAGAAAGCCGTATTCTGTCAGTCTTTGAAAAAGTTGCCTGAGGTGTTGCTGATGCTGCGTGCTGTTGGAGCTGTATACCAGGATGTCATCCAAGTATCCAAAACAGAAGTCCAATCCCCGTAGAACCTCGTCCATGAAGCGCTGGAACGTTTGAGCGGCATTTCGGTGGCCGTAAACCATGAACGGGAACTCATATAAGCCGAATGGTGTTGTGATTGCGGTCTTGCATACGTCAGCTTCAAAAACTGGTATCTGGTTGTAGGCTTTAACCAAATCCAATGTTGAGTACTTCCGGCCAGCTGGTGTGTAAAATCCTGCAAGTGTCTGATGGGATACCTGTCCGGGATTGTGCGTGCGTTCAATGAACGGTAATCACCGCAAGGTCTCCAGCCATCGTTCTTCTTGCGAGCTAAATGCAGTGGCGAAGACCAAGGGCTATCGGATCTGCGCGCCGTGCCGTTTTGTAGCATCTCATCGAACTCCTGCTTTGCAATCTTCAGACGCTCAGGGTCTAAGCGACGCGGACGACCGGTTACAGGTGGACCCGGAGTAGTGCGGATGTAGTGTACCGTTGAATGCCTAATTAACTTTTGCTTACCAGCAGGACGAGTGAGGTCAGGAAATTTTCTCAGCAGACGATGGTAAGCGCGGTCGTCGATGGTTGTTCGAACAGATGAGATTGCCTCTGTTGAAGTATGACGTGGTACAGCAACTGTGAGCGACGTTACGCCATCGATGAGACGCTGGTTACGGCAATCGACTAGAAGGTTGTAGTAACCTAGAAAGTCGACGCCGATGATGGGCTTCGAGACGTCGCCTACGGTGAATCGCCAAGTAAAAGCTCGTCGGAGTCCTAAGTCGATTGTTAATGGCAAGTAGCCATAAGTAGAGATAATTGTTCCGTTGGCCGCGAACAACTCGTACTTTGTCTTATTTCGTGGCTCCCGAACAGCGGATCGCGGAAGGACGCACCTTTGTTTTGCGGTCCGTAATGAACAGGCGGCTCGAAATCGCTAGGCAGTCGTTTACCGCTACTAATGGCTGACTTGGTAGTTTCCCTTTTTCTGGTAGGTACAGGGTTGAGTACACTTCCGTGCTTTTTCACCAAACCGGTAGTGGTAGATGCAATGCGGGTGATTGCTAGGACGTGAGCGTGAACGGGGGCGGTATTTTTTTCTTGAACCGTTAGAGCGTGAACGTAAACGCCTACGTAACTCCATACTCATTGCTTCTACTATTTGGCTGAGCTCTGTCACTGTCCGCGTTAAGGCTGCAATGGTGTTATTAATTGGGGCCGTAGGTGTAGATGACGTACTAGCTACTTGCGCAAGTACTTGACTGTTGGCTAGCATAGTTGCAGGAACAACGTCATTGACACGGTCTGCAAGCTCGGCCGATTCTTCTAGTGACATCTTCGTTTGCTGCGTGGCGATGCAGGTCTGCAGGTGTGTAGGAAGTCGGCTTGCCCACATTGTCCTGATGAACTCAGATGGTACATTTGCTCCAGCTAGGTGCTGCAAATGCCGAAGGAATTGTGTCGGCTTTCTGTCTCCTATCTCCTCATGCATTAACAGCTGTTTGATCTTTCGTTTCTGGGAAGCAGACAGTCTTCGTATCAGCTCCGCCTTCAAAGTATCAAACTTGTTTGCGGCCGGTGGGGAAACTATTAGGTCTCGTACTTCTGCTGCGTGTTGCGGTTCCAGCTGTGCCAGGACGTAGTAAAATTTCGTGGCGTCAGCGCTGATGCTGGGCAACGTGAACTGCCCTTCCAGTTGCGCGAACCATAGTTCAGGGTCATCAGGGTTTAATGGGGGTATTCTTACTCCAACTCGGCAGGATTCTCCCAAAACACCAGCCTTGGCACCTTCAGCTTGCATCTTCTTCGAGGTCTTGAATGTCACCAGTGTAGACGCGTAGGAGTAGGATCATATGCCGTTATAACTAGCAAATAAATTACTGCATACCACTAATAACTATATTTATTAACGCGCAAGTGCAAGTTAGACAAGAGTACAAAATAGCATTGGAAACATTGCTTATATAGGTAAAAATAATTAATAATAATTAAAATCGCAATATGTTGTTTATCTTAAACTTAAACATACTGATTGGTCGTATTCACAGCGAACACAATACATGCGCAAGCGGCCATTGAACTCCGCCCATGCCGCCATCGATGAGAACAATAGGTACACAGGCGGCCATCGAACTCTGCTGGCGCTACGACCAATGGGAACGCATGCGCCCTTATCAGCGGGTGTTGCTTAATGACGACGTAGGATAACGTCCGATGTATGACGTAGTGGTGGCGTGATCTTTAGGTCCGTTCTAGCTACTAATTTACTCGCCACAATTTTGTCCAACTTTCTCATCTCTTTGACCAACGCCATTTTTATTGAAAACAACTTTGCCATAATATTCACGATATATCGAAATTACAACATAAAACGTAATTTTGGAGACGGGCATTTCTGGGCCCAATTTGTAATAAGTTGAAATATTGTTAAAAAAAAGTTATATTAAAAATATAAAAAAGTAGCCCAATTCAGAATCTGGATGACAAAAATATTAAAAATTAAATAAAACTACTTTTATGGATTTTATCGTGCTTAATTAACTTATTTTTATTAATTCCCGACGTTTCGGGTGCTTTACAGCATCCATGGCCACGGGAGACTGAGATAATTAACGTCTCGATGTCAGAGTTAACCCGGAGTATCTTCAGCTTTTTAATTATTAATTTTGGTCCGATCTACGCAGAATGAACTTACTGTGTCTTGAAGTCTTGCAGTGGTATGCTTGGGTTTAGTTTTAATTTTATTAATTACAGGATCCCAAGCATGTAGTAGTATCCACCCTCCCACTCTATTGAAATTAGGATGTTTTTTTAATTACATAGCGTCACGTATCATCCTTAGCAGGAATCGATGTTCTTTCGCGAGAATTTGTGGTTTATCAAATCTAATGTTATGGCGGGGGCCGCCTAGGATATGATCATAAACTGCAGACTTCCCGGAACGTTGTTGCTTCACGTCAGCTATGTGTTCTTTTACGCGGGTTATTATTAATAGCTTTGTTTGCCCTATATATAAGAGAACACATTCACAATCAAGTTTGTACATTTTTGCATCTTGCAGAGGAATATTGCAATTGACGGATGGTAAGAACTGACTTATCTTTTTCGGCGGCTTGAAGAATGTTCTAATAGAAGCTCGCTTCTAGAAGTAGCCAATCTTGTCTCTGACACCTCTGACATATGGTAGTACAGCAGGCACACGCTCGACTGTGGCCGGCTTCACTTGGTCACTGTGACGTAGGCGCGGGACCCGAAGCTTGTTGTCGTGCAGAACCTGCTTGACGTGCTCAAGCTCGTTGACCAGGTATTTGCTGTCACAGATCCCTCATGCTCTCTGTAACCAAGACTCACCGTTTAAATATCGGTTTGTATGGATCTTTTTTTCTATACACAGTGTGACTTATGGTGTTGTTAGGATTTCGAATAACTAACACATCTAAGAAAGCTAAAGAATTATTTGCCTCTAATTCCATAGTAAATTGAATTTTAGAGTTTATGGAATTAAGATGTTCTAAGAATGCAGTTACTTTTTGTGATAGTAAAATTGTGAAAGTATCGTCTATGTATCGCTTGTGGAACCTTGCAGTTACTGGTGCAGTAAGCAGGACCTTCTCCTCAAAGACCTCAATGAAAATATTAGCGACCATGGGGATACCGGTGAGCCCATCGCAACACAATCTACTTGCTTGTAAAACTCTTCCTTCCACAATAGATACCCAGATGTAAGGCCATGTCTGAGTAATACTGCATATTTTGCTGGTATGTTGTTTCCCTCTGGTTTCCTAGTTACAACTGAGATGCAGTTTTCAACAGGTAGGCATGTAAATAAAGACTGAACATCAAAACTGAC